TTCATTTGAAATGTGATGATTAGTACTTGAGATATCAGTGGAAAAACCGAAAATTGACTAATCATTATGCAAATTAGGTAATTAGTATCCACGGATTATTACCAAAAACTAATCAAAACCTAGCATTAGTTCAGAGCATCTATGTACCAAGTTTCATCAAAATCCAATGAGTGGTTGTTTAGATATCAGTGGAACAGTCATGGAACCACTAAAAAATAGCTAATTATCATGTAAATTAGGTAATTAATATGCACAGATTTTTACCAAAAATTAATCAAATCTGCGCATATGTTCAGAGCATCTATGTACCAAGTTTCATCAAAATCCAATGAGTGGTTCTTTAGATATCAGTGGAACAGTCATAGAACAGCTAAAAATTAGCTAATTATCATGCAAATTAGGTAATTAACGAGCATGGATTTTTACCAAAACCTAATCAAATCTGCGCATTGGCCCAGAGCATCTATGCACCAAGTTTCATCAAAAACCGATGTATGGTTCTTGAGATAGCAGTGGAACAGTCGGACACACATACACACACATACACACATACAGACACACTAACTGCAAAGACTCCCATTTTGTGCTTCGCACATGGGAGTCAAAAATTGCGCAAAAGTGGGGGATGGGCGCTTGCCCAGGCATGGGCGCTAACGCGGTCGAGTACGGTAATTTGATTTACTGTATATAGTGCCAACATTACTTAATTACTAGCAGCCTGTCGGCTGAGATAGCTCCGCTGCTATCAATGCACATTTCAATGAAAGAACTGAAGATACCATCAGAAAATGAACATGTATAGTATTAAAGCAATCAAACTTGCTGTTTTCAAAAAAAATTCGAAAATATAACTTTTTATCAAACGTATTCATCAAAATTAGATGAAGAACAAAATCATCACAAAATGAACAAATCTGAGAGAGGTCTACCTGTAGTACCTATGACAAAAATATTCATCAAAATTCGAGAATTAAAGACATCATCACGAAATGAACAAATCTGAGAGAGGTCCACCCAAGGTAAATACATACATGTACCAAGTATCAAAGCATTTGGGCTAGTGGTTTTCAAGAAGAAGTTGAAAATAGCATTTTTGACCAAAAATGACAAAAATATTCGCTATAAATAAGACAATTGAACATATCCACACGAAATGAACAAATCTGAGAGAGAACCACCCAAGGTACCTTCCTAGAAAGTTTCACAGCTATACGGTTTGTGGTTTTTAAAAAGAAGTCAAAAATGTAAAGTTGACGACGGCGACAGACAATCAGTAATAGTATAAGCTCTGCTCAACTTCATAGACAGCGGAGCTAAAAATGTGATACATTACCAAAATTATATTATTTCAATAATAATTTGCTTAATTTAACTCCCTTCCCATATTCTATGTTTACTGCTCTTTTAATAGTTTTGCACATGTCCTGGTAGTTTGCATACCACATGTCAACTGTAAAACAAAAATCATGGAGAAACTATAACCCAGTCAGAGTCTGTTAGTGATTTATTTTCTTTGCTTAAAATTGGGGTTAATTGTACTTCAACTGTATTTCTGTCATCATTAAGTGAATAAACAGTTGATTATGAAAATGTGCCTCCAGTGTCAAAGATTAACGATTGGTTGATAAACTTTGTGATGTGTCTTGTCAACTTTCAATGATTAATGTCCCTCATGGATGTCATCTGACCTTTCCAACACCGTTTTTCTGGTACTATATTAAACTAATTTAAAAGTGATGATAGATTTATTGATGCCAAATTATTTCATCATTGCCTCCAAGTAAGTTTTGATTGGTCAATCTTGAGTGATTATTGTCAAGAATTCTATCCAGTGAATTGCTATGTTTATTATCCTGCTTTTAACTTTTGACCTGAACACAAACCAAGCTTCATATTTCATTTCAGTCTGCTAATATTGTCAGCTAACAACTGGCTAACACACAGCCATGTGGGGAGTAACTTGTATAGTATATAATGTGTAGTGCATTTTGCTACAGAGATCAATACTGTATGACAAAGTTGTGTAGCAATCTCTCTATCAAATAACAATGTGATATTCAGGTGCCAAGCAGGCACAGTTGAACACCAGTGAACTTTACCCAACATTCCTCCAAAAGTCATTATCTCAAATCAAATCAGTTGTTTGCTTGGTGGAGATTGTCCAGAAACAAGTGATTTTATTTTGATCACTTTCCTTATTATTATGACCAGTATTGCTTTAACACATGCATGATAAGTGAATGACTTGTGGCCTGTGGCTTTGGTTTTCCAGTGAGAAATTTGTGGCTCACTCACTCAGCAGAAATATGCAAATAGTTTTTGTTCCATTCTTCTCAAAGTAGGATCTGACTATGCAGCTAGTGGAAGATTTCAACAACCACTATACTATCAGTGATTGGCCAGTCATTGTTACTATGACAACCTTACAGAGACAGTTTTCCACAGAAATCTGCTTGAAGGCAGTGTAATATACATTTAAACCACTTTGAGACAGCTACACGCCATTTTAGCGAATTTGACTCAATGCATGAATGGGGATAGCTGTGATTTTGATTTCTTTTCTTCTTGAAAACTAAAAGCTTTGATACTTAGTATGCCGGTATCTTAGCTGGCGTTCTTTTAAATCGGTCACATGGTGGGAACCACAGAAAATTATGATGCACGTTGCACTCTATTATGGAAAATGAGACTTGTATACTCATCAATGTTAGAAAGAAGTATTTGACATTCTGCCCAGGGCGTCGGTATATAGTGTATACACAATCACAATCTAATTGTGAGAATATACTTTATTTTAAAATAGTGACATCAAGAATTAGCAAAATTATGGATTAGTTAGCTAACAAGAAATGTTTTGGAGTAGTTTCTAAAAGTTGGTAAATTGTTTCTGTGATGTAATGGGCGTAAGGAATGAGTTATCAGTTTTGAAGTAGTTTCTAAAAGTTGATAAATTGTTTCTGTGATGTAACGGGTGTAAGGAATGAGTTATCAGTTTTGGAGTAGTTTCTAAAAGTTGATAAATTGTTTCTGTGATGTAACGGGTGTAAGGAATGAGTTATCAATTTTGGAGTAGTTTCTAAAAGTTGATAAATTGTTTCTGTGATGTAATTGGCGTAAGGAATGAGTTATCAGTTTTGGAGTAGTTTCTAAAAGTTGATAAATTGTTTCTGTGATGTAATGGGTGTAAGGAATGAGTTATGAGCTTTGCTACTGTAAAATAACTAATTTTCACTGGGTTTAAATTTCACTGATTTACCATTTCAGGCATATTCAATGAGTTTTAAATTCACAGTTTTATCATTTTGATAATGTGTTCTATATGCTAAATTTCACATATTCACTGGGTTTTAATTTAGCGCATTTTGCTGAATAACACTGCTCGCTCTTATCCACGTAATTTTGACACCACAGAAATACTCCATTAATAGCATTACATTGTACATGTACTTACATGTTGATAATCTTTTTCTACTTTTACTCAGTGTATTTGACGTGGATGCTGCTGACGTCGCAGATGAATTCCTTGATTTTGACTTGTTGTTATGGTAATATTTTGTATGATATTCAAGACCACTCTGTTTTCGAAATGCCTTGTCGCAGCCAGCAACATCACATTTGAATTTCTTATGGTCCAAGTCTATCACAAGCTCTTTTGGAGCTATTGCTGAAATCAGAAGAGCAGATAAATAAAAGGTGAGAAAAAAATCATAGGAATTCCCATATTGTATTTACTCTATTAGAAGCGCATTCATAACAGATGTATGTGTAAATCAACAGTTGCATGTACTGTCGTTTGGATCATTAAAATACCGTATGACTTATTTAGACCATACACACAATGTTAACACATGCGTTACTAATAGAGCAAAAGGAAACAGGTATAATTTAAATATTAAACAAATTAAGTGACATCTCTTGGTAACACATGACATGCATGAACAAGTTTTTTCAAATGTAAAAAATAATCATAAATTATTTTAACTTGATATGAACAAAAAAAACACATAACTACACAAAATGCCAGGATGTGTGACCTCATGAAGGTCAAGCAACTAGCTTACAACACAACGAATAAATATGAAGCATTTCAAAGAATACACAACACAGCATGATAGCAGATGCAATGTACATATAGTTAAAATGAAGAACTAAAACAGACCTTTTTTGGTTAGAGTTAATTTCTCTAGAATAAAGGAGTGATAAAATATTGATCAGTTTATAGAACTATTTGTGTCAATAATATTGATGTAAAATACAATCCTGAACTTCCTACACTTTTGTAAATTACATAGGAGAAAATACGGTAACTGAATTGCCCTTTTGGGTTCCAACCTCGCTATTAAGTTATAAGTTCCATACTTACTAGTTTCTTTATGTGCAATAACTTTAGCTTTGTCCTGAGATCGAATTCGCCCTTCTGCCATCTCTAATGCTAACTCAGCTGCAAGGTGAAGGTTAGCCTCTGCTGTGGTCTTTCCTTTCACTTTCTTACCCTTTTTGGTTGTTGCTTTTGGAAGATGGACTGGAGGTATTGTAGATGGTGATTTTGTTGGCAACACATCTATAAATGAATCATAAATATATTAGTTGGCATTTTCCCAACACAAAAATTATAGCATTAGTTAGGCAGATATACTGTAAAACATGTTGAAAAAGCGACATGCAATTTTAGTGAATTGTGGTAAAATAATGTAATGGCGAAATGTTGATTTAGCGAATCTATCTTGTCATTGTTGATTTCCTGTTTTCACAACACTTCTCTGTCGCGTGCCAAAACAAATGTGCAGTTATCACCTCCATAAAAACCAAGAAAAACTGTCAAGTGTAATTAGGAAAGGCCCCAGATTTTTTATGTTCCAGAATACTACTGTAAAATCTGTATTAGAAACCGCGGCTTCTATTAAAATGGTACAATGCAACAGAGGGAATGCGGCTTCTATTAGAGCATCTACACATATGAGAAATGATGAATTTTTGGTTCTCAATTATTCAAAAAGAATAGGTGCGACTTCTATTAGGGATGCGGCTTCTAATACAGATTTTACGGTATATACTGTAAAATACTATGTTTTCGCTTGGAACTAATTTTGGCTATTTTCACTAAAGGAATGATTCAGTGAAAATAAAATCCAGCAAATATACATTTTTTCCTATATTTTACATTCAACTCATCAAAAGTCAGTGAAAATAAATTCTATACAAAACACCCAAAACATTTTTTCAGTGAAAATTAATTCCGGCTAAAATAAATTATTTTAAAGTATAAAAATCTCCAAGCCATGGGCATTTTGAATTTATAATAAAGTCATTAGCAACATTTTGAATTAGGGAATCAGTTCTCTTACTAAATTCACTAAAAAGACATGCTCGCGAAAAAGACATGTTTTACAGTAATTATTATCACATAATAAATAATAGGCAAATTATTTTGTTTTATTGTGATCAGTATTGCGTCGAACATTATGCTAAATATCATGCTTGAAATTGATTTTTGTAGTCTATACAACATGTTTTAAAAAATTGTTTGATACTGTATCCAAGCGTAATGTATCCTTAGTTTACTTACCTGGTGTACTTGACAACATTGCTGGAGTAGCCAATAGTCCGGTTGGTGTAGTACTAGCTGCAGATGTTTGGTTATTAGCTTGTAACATGCGCATTAATGTACTATGATATTGAGGGGTATCAGGTGGTGTTTCATGTAAGCCTAGATAGAAATCATATATATACGCAGATAATACAATACTGTATACACTCAATGGTAACACTGTGTATATGTATTTAGGTAGATAGGAATAAAACATGAGAAACTACGGTGTCATGAAGGTTTAAAAGATAACAAGAAATCATGAGATATATGCACATTTCCACAACAGTAGAAATATACAAAGTATGCAACTTAGGATTGTGTATCACAATGTAAGGTATGAAAGCATGGTATACATTTAATGCATACAAAATAAACTGATTCAAAACTGCATACAAAAGATGACATTAGCATTTTAGTTTAGCGAGTCCTGAAGAAAAAATAAAGAGGAATTACATATTATAAGGCAATGCATACTTTCTGGTTAACACAGGTTAGTAAAACAAAAAGGAAATGCTGATGTAATGTTTGCAAAATAAAGCAGTATCAGTAGTTGCCACCTCGTCTTAGCTGTGCTGTCAGTTAATGGTGATAGTTGAGTGATAGGGCTAGTGACTCAACCCTTGATGATATCAAACAAGTTAGGAACTAGTCAAGAGTTAAAAGGAGTCAAAATGGGAAACCCCCCCCCCCCCCCCAGTCAATACAAAAATGATATTGTATATGACTGTACAGGTGAGTTGATACACAAACAAAAATGTTGTGGTCCCTGATTTCCTTGGTATTTGCACATACTATGTTTATAAAAAGTGAATTTCTTTTTATCAAATTACAAATTCCATAGGTTTAGTGCATTTCAAGATCATTACATCTATATCTGATTTTCTGTTGTGTGATTGACACACTAGTTAATTGTCACAGCAAACTTTTATGCATTAGTGGGACGTCATATAACGCTATTAGGTTTATTAAGGGGTTGGCCATTAGAAACTCTGGCGAAGGCAGAATTGAAAAAAATTATATTAGACAACAATTAATGGCATTTAAAAGTGTTGATATTTGAATAATATTTTGCAGTACAGATGTACCATGTATGCCTTCCCTTGTTATGTAAACAGTTATGGTACATGGCATCCAAGTTTAGAACCACTATATCAATTTTTGTTGATATAATTTACCATTACATTTTAAATGCATTCAATGATTCGTGCTATAAAATGAAACCAATTACTGGTATACGACAGATGCTTAAAGGGAACACAATTACATTAGTGCAATAGAATCCCTCACAACCTTACCTGGCATCCCCATGGTATAATGGTGTGATCCTACAGCCAGATGATGAGGTGGTAGTAATAGTGGTGGTGGAAAAAGATGAGGTGGCACTACTGTATCATAGTTAGTAATATGGCAGCAAAAAGACACATAAATCAACAAATTAATTCATTTAGTCATTCAATCAAAACAGAAATTTCAGCGAAATATTTAGCAGCAATTAAACCAACAAAGATACATAAAACATTACTACAAAGCACAAAACATGAATTATTAGTCACATAGTAGGGTTTGGTTTAACTTTTAAGATCAATATCTTGGAAATTACAATCGATGATTCATATATACATACTGGTATATCAGATGTGGAATTTTTAATGCAGGTAAAAGAACTGTGGAGGGAGGGTGGGGTTTATATTCTGTACTGTACCTGAAAGTCATTGGTGGTACAACTGTGGGAGGGGGGGAGGGTG